GATGACATAGAGAGCCCGATGCCCCTCAATTAAGAAAATATGCCTTAGATCAGAAAGGGATCCTGAATATGTCATTTCAGGGAATATTCAACCCTAAACCCCAAACCCTAAACCCTGATCCCTAAACTGTGAAACCCTCAACCCCCAAACCTCAACCCTGAACCTGAAGCAAAAAGCCCTAAGCCCTACGCCCTAAGCCCTAAGCCCTAAGCCCTAAGCCCTAAATCCTAAACCCTGAACCCTAAACCCTAAACCCAAGGGGCAGAAGCTTGGAACGCAGGAGGGTGCGCGGCGGCGGCTGTGCTGCCGGTGGCAGCAGCAGGAGCTGCACAGGACGACCAGGGTCAGCAAGAAGCCTGGGGTTTAGGGTTTAGGGTTTAGGCTTTAGGGTTGAGGGTTTAGGGTTGAGGGTTTAGGGTTTAGGGTTGAGGGTTTAGGGTTTAGGGTTTAGGGCTTAGGGTTGAGGGTTTAGAGTCTAGGGATTACGGTTTCCGGATGTAAGGGGTGTGGTTGTCGGGGCCACGGGTCTTCGGACTTCAGTGTTTTTTTAGGGCTTGGGGCTTTGGAGAGCTGTGGGGGTTTAGGAGTCTCGTTTTCTTTCTTTATCTTTTTTTGTTGTTTTTTATGATTCTTTTTTTTGGGGGGGGGGGTCCCTAGGGTTTAAGGAGCGTTTAGGTCCAGGGTATCTGATGCGATCCTCCCTAGCCCCTCCAAGCCGTAGCCACTGGACCCCCTAAACCCCCAACGGAGAGCTTCAAAGTCCAGCGCGCCCTGTCGCCCTGCAACTGGCAGCTCCCTTCAACCCTAAACCCTAAACCGAAACGCCCTTAAAACATACACCTTAAGTAAGGCCGCAGCGGCACCCCACAATCCTAGATACACACCCCCCCCCCCCAACGCAACAAAAAAGCCTGGCCGTAAAGTCCAGAGGAAGACCAAGACTGATAAAACCAAAAGCCCAAAACCAAAATACCCCCATGCCCTGCAACCTTAACCCACAAAACCTTGACTCCCCCCTCCCCCCCAACACGTGCAATCCAAAACCCCAAACCCCAAACCCTAAACCCTAAACCCCCAAAAAAAGAAACCTTTGCAGCCCGCGCCTATGCACAGGAGCGCTGCCGGGTAGGAGCTGGACCTGGCTTCGGGGTTTGGGGCTTTATAGGGCTTGGGGTTTGGGGTTTAGGGTTTAGGGTTTAGGGTTTAGGGTTTACGGACTTCTGGTTGGGGGTTTAGGATCTAGGATTTAGGGCCTTAGGGTTTGGGGTTTAGGATTTAGGTTTAGGGGCTTATGGTTTGGGGTGTAGGGTTTAGGATTTGAGGTTTGGGGGCTTATGGTTTAGGTATTAGAGTTGAGGGTTTAGGGCTCAAGGCGTGTGGTGGTGGGGGGGGGGGGGGGGGCCCGGGTCTAGGGCTGGTATTTTAAGGATGTGTGGACTGTTCTGCATTTTTTTTACTTTTGTTGGGGGGGGGGGGGGGGGGGGGTGGGTGGGGCAAGGGCTTGCGAATTTTGCTGTTGGGCTCAAGCAGGTTTAAAAAGTTTAGGGTTTTGGGTCGAAACCTTCTCTTCAACGCCCCCACCTCACAACGAAGTGCTTCCAGTCCTCTTCCGAGGCACCCGCTGCCGGAAACTCCTGAAAGGAAGCCCATGGGTTCCGGCAGGATGCTGGGGGTTTAGGGCCCTAAACCCTAAACAAACCCCAAACCAGAAACCCTAACCCTAGACCCTACACCCTACACCCTCGGAGAAATAAACAACAACAAAAGCAGACCCTAGACCCTCAGCCCATCGACCTCGTGGGAGCCGAACACTGGCAAAGTGCCATGAGTAAACCCTAAACCCTAAACCCTAAACCCTAAACCTTAGACAGCCCTGGCAGGATCTACTTTTACTACTGTGCCATTCCTCAAAAAAACCCAAACACCCTAAACAAAACCCTAAAACCCTAAAGAGCCAAATCCCTTTTAAACCCTAAAAACACTGAAAGCCCAAAAAAGCCTGAAAACCCTGAAAGCCCTGTAGACTCTCTAGACCCTAAAAACTTTTGGGTTTTGGGGCTTAAGGCTTTCACCATTGGCCCGTGAGGAGCTCCACTCCAATGATTGTTTTGAGAGTTTGAGGGGGAAAGCAGTTGCCAATAGTATCGACAAAGCCCTAAAAGTGTTGGGGTTCTTGAGGGAGAAGGGGTCAAGGGGTGTATATAACCCAAGGTTCCCTAATACTCCCCACTACTCCCGAAGGCTCCCTAAGCTTCCCTAAGACACCTCAGGTACCCACGCGCATGAACCCCCCTCCCTTAAACACCCTATAATACAGCCCTGAACCGTCCTCAAATGGCCCAAAGGGCATGAATCCCTAAAGCCCTAAACCCCAACAGCCCTAACCCTCAACCCAGATTTTGAAAGCCCTAAACCCGAAAAGCTGAAAAACAAACTGCTTAGAAGCGACAAACTTCTGAAGCCCTAAACCCCAAAACCTGAAAAGCCCCTGAAGCCCTAAAACCCTAAAGGCCCTGAACAAAAACCTCAATGCCCTAAAAAAAGCCCCATCAGACCCTAAAGGCCCTAGGCACCCTAAAAACCCTTAAAGTCCCAACTCACCCGACCTCGACCCAAGAGTAACCTATTTAAAGGGGCTTATCAGGGGACCTAAACCCTAAAAAAGGGGAATAAGTGCCTACTCTAGGTACCCTAAACCCTAAACCCTAAGCCCTAAGCCCTAAACCCTAAACCCTAAACCCTTTTTAAAAACTGCAATAAGGGCAACTCCTCTGGGTCCTAGAAACCCTTCGGGGCCTGGCCAAGCTTCTGCAGCACGTCAACCCACCACGTGGCCTGTGGAAGCGTTTTAAGGATTGAGGGGTTTAAGGTTTAGGGTTTAGGGTTTAGGGTTTAGGGCGAGGGTTTAGGGTTTAGGGTTTAGGGTTTAGGGTTTAGGGTTTAGGGTTTAGGGTTTAGGGTTTAGGGATTTAGGGATTTAGGGATTTAGGGATTTAGGGATTTAGGGATTTAGGGATTTAGGGATTTAGGGATTTAGGGATTTAGGGATTTAGGGATTTAGGGGTTTAGGGAGTTAGGGTTTTGGTGCCTCCCACGGCTTGCGGATGACCGGAGGGAGAGTCGGCAGGTCCGGCATGGGCGGAATTGGCATGGCTCACCTGGGCTGACTTCTGAACCTACCTTTGGAGTAGACCCTGGAAAAAAAGTATATACTTTTTAGGTATAAGTAGCTAAAATAGGAACCCAGAACCAAAAAAAGTATTAAAGTACTCCAAAACCCAGTGAACACCTCCTAAACGTTTAAGCTTTAGGCTTTTCTGGGGGTTTAGGGTTTAGGGTTCAGGGTTTCGGGTTTCGGGTTTAGGGTTTAGGGTTTAGGGTACAAAAACCCAAAAAGTTAAAAGTCCTAGGAGCCACGCAGAAGGAAAGCCAAGTCACGCCCTCGCAGCCAACTACTGCAAGGGGGGGGGACGCGAAGCTAACTAGTATGGCAGCTGTTGAGCCAAAGACACATTGTTGGGGGGCAACTTGCATTTCCCGAAATCCCGCAACTCCCTAAACTAGGGTTCAGGTCTTCGGGTTTAGGGCTAAGAGTCTAGGGTTTCGGGTTGATATTTCAGGGTTTAGGGTTTAGGGTTTAGGGTTTAGGGTTTAGGGTTTAGGGTTTAGGGTTTAGGGTTTAGGGTTAGTCCTGCGCATCCAGGGCAACTTGTACACCCTGAGCCACCCAACTGCCACCCCACTCCCAACTCCTGCGTTCCCAACCTTAGGAATTTCCAGCTACACCCTAAACCCTAAGCCCTAAGCCCTAAACCCTAAACACTAAAGCCTAAACCCTAAAGCCAAAACCAAAACCCCTTAAACCTGCAACCCTCTGCAAGGGCAGAGGGGGCGTACTCGTCCCGCGCGAGGTGCGAGGGGAAGGTGGCCTCGCGGAAGCTGAGGGATTGCAGAGGCGGCCCAGCAACCCGAAACCCTGAACCCTAAACCCCAAATCTTAAACCCTAAACCCTGAACCCCAAACCCTAAACCCTAATCCCTAAGCCCTGGATCCAGCAAGGGAGAGAGGGTGTCGCCTGCGTTGGCTTGGGCCTTCCAGAGCCCGCAAGGCCCAGCCCCAAAACCCCCCTAAGCCTGAGTACCTGCCCCCCCCCCCCCCCCCCACACTCCCCTTTGGGAGGTTAGGATTGAAGGCTTAGGGGTGAGGGTTTAGGGTTGAGGGCTTAGGGTTGAGGGTTTAGAGCTTAGGGTTGAGGATTTAGGGCTTCGGGTTTAGGGTTGAGGATTTAGGGTTGAGGATTTAGGGTTGAGGATTTAGGGTTTCGGGTTTCGGGTTTAGGGTTTAGGGTTGAGGATTTAGTGTTTAGGGTTTAGGGTTTAGGGTTGAGAGCCCATGGCTTGCCCTCCTGAACCCTAAACCCTAAACCCTAAACCCTAAACCCTAAACCCTAAACCCTGAACCCCGGCCCTAAACCCTAAACCCTAAACCCTAAACCCTAAACCCTAAACCCTAAACCCTAAACCCTAAACCCTAAACCCTAAACCCTAAACCCTAAACCCTAAACCCTGCCGCCTTGAGATCGGCTGCGGAGTCACCGGAGCTGCAGACCTTCCCCACTTCGCCGAAGACCTCCGGAGCGTTTTTGGGGCTTTAAACCCTAAACCCTAAACCCTGAACCCTAGACCCTAAACCCTAAACCCTAAACCCCTAATTTTAGGAGACTTTGTCGGCATCTCTTGGGGGGGTTGATGTACTTTGGGGCCACCCTAAACCCTAAACCCCAGGCCCTAACCCCCATTGTCTCCCCCTTCAAGCTCTAAGGGGGACGGTGGGTCCAGGGTTTATAAGACCTTCGGGCTTCAGGGTTTAGGGTTTAGGGCCTTTAGGGTTGAGGCTCTGAACCCGAACCCTAAACCCTGAACCCTAAACCCTAAACCATAAACCCTAAACCCTACAACCTGAACCGTGCAGAGGTGCCAGCGTGGACCTTTTTTGGCAGCTAAGGGATTCTCCTGAGGGCGCTGGCGGCTACTGAACTCAGCTCCTGGCCGCGGTGTTCATTCGGATTGCAAGGCTTTGGGGTTTAGGGTTTGGGGTTTGGGCTTTGGGCTTTAGGGTTTAGGGTTTAGGAGGGTGTGCATCTATTCTGCAGTAAGTTTGGGGATTTTGCGGTTTGGGGGTTTGGAACTTGGGGGTATAGGGCTTAGGGCCAGTGTGTGTCTCGCGGGGCACGTTCTACAGTAGGGTTTAGGCTTTCAAGGGTGATCCGCCTCAATAAGGGGATGTGATCATAAACGCGAACCAAACGGGGCCGCTATTTTTGACCAAACGCCACACAATCATACCTTCAAGGGACTCAAGGAGGGACCCTGACAAGGGACCTTAGGAGATATTTTGAGGTGATTTAGGGGGCTACTGAGATATATAGGGACTATATAAAGGCATACATATATATATATGGGTTCTATAGGGCCCTCCTTAAACCCCTCAATACCTGGGACTGTCATGACAATAGATCGGCTGGTGCATGGGGTTTGGGCAGGCGTCCTCGTCCTCCTGCAGCGATCTCAAGGTGGCTTCCTTGTCTGCAGCCACAAACAAAAACCCTAAACACTAAAGCCTCTAAAGACCGAGCCCTGTGAAACCCTTTGCTGCGTGCGTATGGCCATTGAAGCCTCCCACCCTGGAGCTCTAGGGCATAGGGATTTTGGGGTTTGCAGGGTTGAGGGGGTTCATGGTTTAGGGGGGCCTTTGCATTGAGGGCGCTACGTTGCAAAGCTTTCAAGCTTTCAAAAGCGAGGGCTGTGATGGTTTTAAAAGGCCTCGTCCGAAGGCCTTCAGCCCCCAAGCTATGTACAAGCCCCTCGAGCGCCCGCCCAACTCACAAACATCCCCCCCGTCCAGATTGCGCAACGCCGTAGCCCTCCCCATAAACCATGGCTTCAGAGATGTAACCCCAGACACTGAACCCTTGCTTCAGCAACTCTAAACCCTGAACCCTAAACCCGATCTCAACACTCCTCCCTGGCCATCCGGGGCTCGGCCCGGCTGCCGCCGGTGGCCACGAGCCCCAGTAGCTCCACCACGGAGCGTCGGACCTGAATGCACATCCCTCCCCCCCCTCATTGTAGGGTTTAGGGTTTAGGGTTTAGGGTTTAGGGTTTAGGGTGTAGGGTTTAGGGTTTAGGGTTTAGGGCTTAGGGTTTCGGGTCTGGGGTTTAGGGTTTAGGGCTTGGGGTTTGGGGCCTCTGGTCCCTCCAGCTTTTGAAGCTTTTTGGGTGAAGGGATCCGGGGAAATCTGAACAAGAAGAACACGGATCCGTTTTTGTTCGTATTGGGTTCAGGGCTTTGGGGTTCAGGGTTTAGGGTTTAGGGTTCACGACATCTTCCCCACAGTCCTTGATAGGGATTATAATACCCCCGAATATACATGTAAACATATATATATATGTATGTATGTGTACATGTATATGTATATGTATGTGTATATGTATATGTATATGTACATGTATATGTACATGTATATGTATATGCATATGTATATGAGTATGTATACGTATATGTATATGTATATGTATATGTATATGTATATGTATATGTATATGTATATGTATATGTATCTGTGTATGTGTATGTACATGTATATGTATATGTATCTGTATATGTATCTGTATCTGTATCTGTATATGTATATGTATATGTATATGTATATGTATATGTATATGTATATACAAATATGTATACAAGGTAATACCTTATATAGTCCCTATATACCTAAGTAGCCCCTAAATCACGCCCAAAAACTCACCCCTAAAGGTCCCTTAAAGGGGCCCCTCCTTTCGTCCGGTGAGATGTTCCCCCTTATACTAGCAGTCCTTAAAGGGGATTCTAATACCCCGATGATAATACCTTCTAAGGACTGCTCGTATAACAGGGAACATCCCAATTCCCGCTCCGGCTCCTCCTTGATGTGGCCACCATCCTCCAAGAAGATGTCCTTTGTCTTTTGCCCGCTCTCTTTCGTTCCAAAGACGCCCTCGGGACTTGAGCTTCCGGTTGCCACAGTCGTACCTAGGGACTTTTCCCAGCTGTACCTCAGCAGGCCTTGCTTGGACAAAGCTGCCTCCATGGGACTGTTCATATCCCACAGATCATCGGAGGTCATGTCCTTGAGCACATTCTCCCATATCTTCTTTTGCTCTTTCTCAGTAATGTCCAGCTTGAGCAGGCTCGCAACTTCGAACCTCATTCATCCGCCACTACAAAAAAGCGAAAACTGGGCAAAAAGAAAGAGCTGGTTTACAGCTCCTGACTAGTATACCAACCTCAGAGACCCCCTCCCACTTCAATGTCTGCCATGAAAAGATCATCTCGGCTCCACGCACTCCCGCAAATCAAGGACCACCATCCCGAATTTAGGAGGCCTACACTCACCTCAAGCTCTACAAGTCAACCCTAAACCCTAAACCCTAAACCCTAAACCCTAAACCCTAAACCCTAAACCCTAAACCAAAAAACTGGGGCTTGCCCTAGACCCAAGGCCCACAAGGTGCCCTAAACCTGAACCCTACATCCCCAAACCCTAAAGCCTAAACCCTCAACCCTAAGCCCTACACCCTAAACCCTTGACCCTAAACCCTAAACCCTAAACCCTAAACCCTACACCCTAAACCCTAAACCCTAAACCCTAAACCCTAAACCCTAAACCCTAAACCCTAGACGTGGGAAGCCGGCCTCCACGTCTTCGTGCCCAGCATATCTCAGCCTTTGTGAAGCGTTAAGGGTTTCAGGTTTAGGGTTTAGGGTTTAGGGTTCAGGGTTCAGGGCTCAGGGTTCAGGGCTCAGGGTTCAGGGTTTAGGGTTTCGGGTTTGATCAAGGGGGCTGTGACTGTGTTTGCTTAATGCCTTAATCCCTCTCTCCGTGGGGCCAAGCCCCACCCCCTGATACTGAATGTTCTGAATATACTACGATACGACCCTTCAAGCCTTTGAGAAACCCAAGCCCTGAATCCTAAACCCTAGAATCCTCAAGCCCACGTCCTTGTGAGGCATCAGAATTGGTCATTTTAGTGTTCGGGGGGGAGGGGCGTGCCCGAAAATAAGGTACCTAGTTTGGGCGTCGTTGCAACAGGGGCTGTGCTATGCTTAAGGTCTCAATCCTAAACTCTACACCCATACTAGGGGCATCATAGAGCCGTTGGACCACCCTAAACCCTAAACCCTAAACCCTAAACCCTAAACCCTAAACACCTTCAGTGCCTTTCCGTGATTGGGGCCGCCCTGGACCCTTCAGCCCTAAAACCCATCAAATCCTCGAAGCCTCAACGCCTGAACCCCTTAAACACTCGAACCCCAAACCCACCAAAAAAAAGGTTTAGGGTTCAGGGTTCAGGGTTTAGGGTTTAGGGTTTAGGGTTTGGGGTTTGGGGTAAAACCCCCTAAATCTCAACCTCTCAACCCCTCAAACCCTACACACTTCAACACCCCAAACCCCCTCAAGCCCTGAACCCCTAAACCCTGAACCCTGATACCCTGAAACCCTCAACCACCTTACTATGGGGGCATGAATAATTGTAACAGGGTTTTGGGCGCTTTTTTTAAAGCATAAGGGAAGAAGACTAGTAATTCTTCGGACCCCTAAACCCTAAACCCTAAACCCTAGACCCTAAACCCCTCCATTGCGCCCGTGGAGTCGGGACGCAAGGCTTCCTCCAAGGCCGTGTCCCCGCGCTGGGACAGCTTCCGAATAGCCTGCCAAAAGCAGTTAGGGTTTAGGGTTTAGGGTTTAGGGTTCAGGGTTTCGGGTTTAGGGTGTAGGGTTTGGGGTTTAGGGTTTAGGGTTTACGGTTCAGGGTTCAGGGTTTACTAGGGTTTGAGCTTGAGGGGCTTTGGTGGATTAGGGGTTTGCTTTACTAGGAAGGCGGGGCTCTCCAGTCTACTGGGGTCCAGGGCCCTGGGCCCCGGGGGCTTCCGGGGTTTCTAGGGTGTCAAGCGCAGGCTTTAGGGCATAGGGTATAGGGTTTAGGGTTTAGGGTTTAGGGTATAGGGTATAGGGTTTAGGGTTTAGGGTTTAGGGTATAGGGTTGAGGGTTTAGGAATGGTCCCTTGATTTGGGTCCCTTGAAGTCCCTTGTTGTAAAGCCTTCTTCTACACTAACCAGTGGTTTTAACCCCCAAGCACTAAACTCGAAACCCTAAACCAAAAAACCCTAACCCTATACCCCCCTAAACCCGCTAAACCCCCCTAAACCCTTAAAAAAAAGCCGCTGTCGTCTTCGAGCCCGTGCCCACCTAACATCGTAGGGGCCCAGACTTCGGATCCCGATAGACGAGGGTAAGGGACCATACTTAGGGCCCATAATGCCAACCTTAGACGGGGTTTGGGTCGTTTCTTCATGGGCTTAGGGTTTCAATTGGGAACCCAACCCCCAGAAGTAGGAGAAGAAAGGGGATCATTCTGCTTACACGTGGTGATAACTGACGTCTCGGCTGAAGCAGCCTCCGCCAGAGCCCTAAGCCCTAAACCCTAAGCCCTAAGCCCTAAACCCGGTTAGGATTTCTGGCTCATCATGGAACCCCAACTCGAATCACAGGACGGGAGGAAATCGATCGCGAAGGGGAGCAAACCGGCTATTTAGGGGAATGTCCAGACGCATTCAAAGCGCTGCACACGAGTCCGACATCATAACTAAGATCGCCAGCAACCACTTTAACAAAGGGTTTGTGCAATCAAAATATGCAGGATCCAACATCTTAACCCTGCGGAAAGGAAATGGCGCTAGTTAGCTTTCTCCTAGTTGCTGAGTACCCTGGGCCAAACAAGGTGAGCCTTTCAATTATGGTAGGATTATCTAGACCCCAAAAGGGTAAAGGTTACCTACACAGCTACTAAGTTCTAGGTCCTCTCACTACGTCTGAACGGCAGTACCCTAAACCCTAACCCCTAACCCCTAACCCCTAAACCCTAAACCCCAAACCCTAAACCCTAAACCCTAAACCATGCCTGCACAGCGGCATTGCTCACCGACACATCTGGATCCACCAGGCAAGCCGTGGCCGCCGACGTTGCTTTCGACCGACTGCACCTCAAAGGGGCCCTAAAACCTAAGCTCTAAGTACCCTAAACCCTAAGCCCTAAACCCTATCCCGTAAGCCCTAAACCCTAAATCCTAAACCCTAAACCCGAAAGCCGCCAAAATCATGCCTAAACCCCTCATCTTTCGCCCCTTCAGAGTCCCCAAACCCGCAAGCCTCTTACAGAGATCCCCAGGCGCCTAAACCCTCAACCCTCAACCCTCAACCCTCAACCCTACACCCTAAACCCTAAACCCTAAACCCTAAACCCTAAACTCTAAACCTCCCAAGGCGCCCTGTCAAGCGGGGCAGCACCAGGAGGATCTCGCAGCGCAGCTGCGCGCCCAGTGGCCCGGGCTCCAGCTTGGCGAGCATGGCATCCAAGGCGAACTCGGATTGCTGGCCTTAGAGTTTAGGGTTTAGGGTTTAGGGTTTAGGGTTTAGGGTTTAGGGTTTAGGGTTTAGGGTTTAGGGTTTAGGGGTAGCAGGGCATCCAAAGCGAACTCGGACTGCAGGCCGCAGAAGGACTCGGGGTGCTAGAGCTTGCAAGGATTCGGGGTGCTAGAGCTTGGAAGGATGCGGGGTGCTAGAGTGCTAGAGTTCAGGGCTTAGGGTGCTAGAGTTTAGGGTCTTAGGGTTTGGGGACGCTTGGGATGGGGATGCGGCCGGCTTTGTGTACCGCCATAAGCATAAACTTAAAGCCCACACCCTAAACCCAAAACCCTAAACCCTGAACCCCCTGAACCCCCTCAACCCCCTGAACCCCCTGAACCCCCTAAACTCCCTAAACTCCCTAAACTCCCTAAACTCCCTAAACCCTATACCCTAAACCCTAAACCCTATAAACCCGAAACCTTACTCCATGACCGGTTCGGCTCCCAACCTCTGCCAGGGCTGCCTGTAAGCTCGGCAACGCCCTGAACCTTGAACCCAAATATGAACCAACCTCTTAGGGTTTAGGGTTTAGGGTTTAGGGTCTAGGGTCTAGGGTCTAGGGTCTAGGGTCTAGGGTCTAGGGTCTAGGGTCTAGGGTCTAGGGTCTAGGGTTTAGGGTTTAGGGTGGCTACATGGTCCCTTTATATAAAAGGGGACCCCTTGTATGCCCCTTATGTACCCTGGGCCCATAGCCCATACACCAGAGCACTTGAAGTAAGGTGAGGGACCAGATGTTGGGCCCATATAGCTCCCCTTAGAGAACCCCGGCATCGCTCCTGCTATGAACTTCAACGTTTTTAAACTTGTTTAGGGGTTTAGGGTTTGGGGTTTAGAGTTTGGGGTTTAGGGTTTAGGGTTTACGGCTCAACTCTAAAACGCCCCGTAGCCCCACACCCTGCAAGAAACCCCTTCGGGGTTCAGGGCTGAAGCGTAGCAAACACCTCCGCACCCCGAAGCCACCAGCCCCGATAACCCTCAAAACCCCGGCTCGCCCCCAAACATGGCCCCTCCATCTTAAAGCTTCTCTGCAAGGGAAAACCACACACGGCGAACACCCCCGCCCCCACCTCCGCTCCCAAAACAAGTGCAACATCCCAAAATCCTACTACCCCCTCCCCGCCCCTCACGGACCTGCGTACCCCAAACCCAAGAACCTACACCCTGTAAACCCTACTGTGACCTTCAAAGTTCCCAACACCCTGCACCCTCAAGCCTAAACCCCCTACTGCCCTGAAACCCTCCACAACCCTTGGAAATATGGGGGGCCTTGTGGGCACGTTAAACCTAATTAGACCCTCTCGCCATCCCTGCATCGTGTGGGGTAATGTAGGGGCCTCATTGGAATAGGGTTTTGGGTGTCATTATAGTATACTTATACAGGGACCATAAGGGAACGCGAATACAATTAGTAACTATTCCGACCCCTATAGTAGGCTACTAAACCCTAAACCCTAAACCCTAAACCCTAAACCCTAAACCCTGCGAACAAGCCAGAGTCCAGCCTCCAGGCGACCCATGCGTGTCGCAACACACTGCCCTGACCTGGCAACCCTCAACCCGGAACCGTAAACCATCAACCGTCAACCGTCAACCCTAAACCTTTATAAACCCCAAACCCCAAACCCCAAACCCCAGACCCCAAACCCTAAACCCCAAACCCCAAACCCCAAACCCCAAACCCCAAACCCCAAAACCCAAACCCCAAACCCCAAACCCCAAACCCCAAACCCCAAACCCTAAACCACCAAACTCAAGCAAAACACCAGTGAAGGCCCCTGAGCTGCCCAGGAGCTTGGCTGTGGCGGCCACAAGGCCGAAATCGCCTGCACAGCAGCCCTGGCCACCTAGGGGCGGGGGGGGGGGGGGGGGGGGGGTTTGGTTCTCAAAGCCTTCAGAGGGTTTAGGGTGTAGGGTTTTGTGTTTAGGGTTTAGGGTCTAGGGTTTAGGGTTAGGGTAGCACTTGAGCGGTGAACCCGGAATAACCCTGTGGAGGAAGCCTATACCCTAAACCCCAAACCTGGCATGGACTCCACCTACTGAGGTTTAGTAGAGTTTTCAGTTCAGGGCAAGTAGGGGCTCTAGAAACTCTGGGAGGTTTAGGGTTTGGGGTATAGAGGGTTTAGGGTTTAGGGTTTAGGGTTTAGGGGTTTAGGGGTTTAGGCTTAGGGTTTAGGGTTTAATAGAGCCTCCTCCACATCGTCCAGGGCGGCCGTGGAGGCGGCCATGCCTGTGGGAGCATCTGCATGAAGGCTAAAGCAAGTGCAGCAATCATCTAAGGGTAGGTGCAGGGGGATCTCTAAACCCTAAACCCTAAACCCTAAACCCTAAACCCTAAACCCTAGATCCCTTATGTACCCCTGCGCAAATTCACCCTTTAAAGGAGGCTAGGGACCATGTTAAGGGCCCACGAAACTGCCCTCAGAATCAAGGAGCCTAAAGCCCTTGAGTTGGGATGCTCCCCCTTATACGAACAGTCCTTAATTTAGGGTTTAGGGTTTAGGGTTTAGGGTTTAGGGTTTAGGGTTTAGGGTTTAGGGTTTAGGGTTTAGGGTTTAGGGTTTAGGGTTTAGGGTTTGGGGTTTAGGGTTTAGGGTTTAGGGTTTAGGGTTTAGGGTTTAGGGAGTAGAGAACCCCCCAATATTATGCCTACTAAGGACTGTTAGTATCAGGCGGAACGTCCCAACCGTTGAGCCTTACACTCCAAGCCCTACAAAAACCCTCCAAAAGCAGAAAGGAAGGACCAAAAGCGTCCGTCTTCAAGTCCCCAAAGCTTGAGCACCAAACTTTCATTTAGCCCCCAAAACCCTAAACCCTAAACCCTACAACCTAAACCCTAAACCCTACACCCTACATATGAGCCCTGACCCGCAACCCTGTGGGGGAATGGAAGGTCCATCCTTCCCCGCTCTCCCCCTAGTTTAGGGTTTAGGGTTTAGGGTTTAGGGTTTAGGGTTTAGGGTTTAGGGTTTAGGGTTTAGGGTTTAGGGTTTAGGGTTTAGGGTTTAGGGTTTAGGGTTGTTTTGTCAAGGGGCTCATGTAGAAACCCGTACAAACCTCAACCCTTAAAACCACCCAAAAGCCCTGTACCCCATGCTAAGATGCTCCAACATACATAACGCCCCAAATAACTAGATGAAAGCTACTCAAAAAAGAAGCCCTCACATTCAAAAACGCAACCCGAAACCCGCCAAGAAAAACAATGCCCTACACCCCGTACCGAGTTAAAGAAACTCAACACAACTTACAAATTGATAGAGAGACCCTAACCCTAAACCCTAACCCTAAACCCTAAACCCTAAACTTACCCTAAACCCTAAACCCTAAACCCTAAACCCTAAACCCTAAACCCTAAACCCTAAACCCTAAACCCTAAGCCTGCGTCGCCATCGAAGTCATCCAGCTGCCCGAGCAGCTGAACCGCCTCGGCCCTCACCTGCCACAAGGGTTTAGGGTTTAGGGTTTAGGGTTTAGGGTTCAGGGTTTAGGGTTTAGGAGGGCACCCGAGTGAGTTTCGGACTTTGAGTTTTGAGGGTTTAGGGTTCGGGGTTTGAGGGTTTAGGGTTTAGGGTTTCGGGCTTGAACGTGGGGTGGGGGGTGAGTCAGTAGGTCAGCCACCAGTAGGGCCAAGGGCAGGGCTGCGTTTAGGGTTTAGGGTTTAGGGTTTAGGGTTTAGGGTTTTGGGTTTTGGGTTTTGGGTTTTGGGTTTTGGGTTTAGGGTTTAGGCTTTTCTGGTTGGGGGTTCAGGGTTCGGGGTTTCCGGTGTTTAAGGGTTTAGGACTTGGGGTTTCGGGTGTAAGTAGGGTTTGGGGATTCAGGGCGCAAGGGTGTGAATGGGCTATTTCGAATGACAGGGCCTTCATCCCCCTCAAGCCTGACTGATCTAGGAATTGTGATTACCCAAACAGCCCAATATTGCTTAATTAAGGAATATACCTTAAATCATATTAAGGATCCCTATATGATTTAAGGAATATTCCTTAATTAAGCAATATTGGGCTCTTTGGGTACGATGGCAGATTTAGGGCTGAATTTGGGTTTAATTACAGGGCTTCCCAAAGCCAACGAGACCCTGAAACCCTAAACCCTAAAACCTACCTAAACCGAGGCTCCAAACCCCAAACCCCAAACCCCAAACCCCAAACCCCAAACCCCAACCCCCCTAAACCCCAAAACCCAAACCCGAGCGCCCCGGAAACCTCAACAGCTCAACAGCCAAGAAAGACAAGACCCCAAACCCCAAACCCCAAACCCCAAACCCCCAACCCCAAACCCCAAACCCCAAACCCTAAACCCTAAACCCTAAACCCTAAACCCTAAAACCTAAACCCTAAACCCTAAACCGCTGCCTCGGGCCACTCGCTGGACTGCACCTCTACTTCGAAGGGAGCTTTGGACTCTGGGAGCAGGGTTTAGGGTTTAGGGTTTAGGGTTTAGGGTTTAGGGTTTAGGGTTTAGGGTTTAGGGTTTAGGGTTTAGGGTTTAGGGTTTAGGGTCAGGGTTTAGGGTTTCGGGTTTAGGGTTTAGGAGCTCAACCTGTGGGAGACCCTCAGCCTGAAACCCTTGGAGGTTCATGGGTTTAGGGTTTTGGGTTTTGGGTTTTGGGTTTAGGGCTACAACCCTAAACCCTACCCAGATCTTCCAGAACCCCTTAACTAAGGAACATACCCTAATTAGGATCATTATTAGAAATTGGTGTATATTCCTTAATCAAGGGGCTTTGGATGATCTGGGTACCTCAAGGTTCAGGGGTAGTTCTAAGTAGGGTTAAAAGTAAGGCAACTTATACTTATCACATGTGATAACCCTATATTAGGGTACCTATAACCCTATCTTGGGGTACTTATAACCCTGCATTAGGGTACTTATAACCATATATTAGGGTACCTATAATCCTACTTATAGGTACCCATGAGCCTCCAAGTATAAACCGAAAGATCCCACCCGGCCTGCTTAGACCCCACGCACCCTTGTCTAGGGTACATGACCCAGAACCCAAAGACTCCAATATCCCTTAATTAAGGAATATACCTTAAATCATATTAGGGATCCTGCTCTAATTTAAGGTATATTCCTGAATTAAGCAATATTGGGCTCTTTGGGTATCCGGCAACCCCGAAACACGTTTACTTTGGGGGAATTCGTGCTCTGAGGGCGGTTGGGCGCGATGGGGCGCCAAGGGCATCTGGAGCCCGAAAGGTTGTAAGGGATTAGGGTTTAGGGTTTAGGATTAGGGTTTAGGGTTTAGGGTTTAGGGTTGAGGGTTGAGGGTTGAGGGTTGAGGGTTGAGGGTTGAGGGTTGAGGGTTGAGGGTTGAGGGTTGAGGGTTGAGGGTTTAGGGTTTAGGGTTTAGGGTTTAGGGTTTAGGGTTTGGCCCAGGGTTTCGGAGTTGGCGAAACCCTGCAGCTTTCAAAACCTCAAACCTCAAAGCCCCAACACTAGGAGCTCCAATCCCCAAAAAGGTTGTACCTTGGAGCGTTGCGGTTGAACCCTTGGGTTTTGGGGGATCCTGTTTAAAGTCCCTGAAAGTAGTGTAAGGACCATATTGCGAACATATTAAGGGGAACTTTTTGGGGTACAACCGCAGGGGTACGACTCTTCATCCCTTGAAACCCTAAACCCTAAACCCTAATCCCAAGGCACCCCCTAAACCCTAAACCCTAAACCCTAATCCCTAAACCCTAATCCCTAAAACCAAGGCACCAGATTCGAGAGCTCCCGCAGTATGGTGCCGTTGCACGCGCCGCGAGGCCCGGCGATGGCGCGCAGGGCGTGGGCTGCGTGCGCTCGCAAGGAGCCTCGCAGACTGAGGGCTAGAAAGGGTTTAGGGTTTAGGGTTTAGGGTTTAGGGTTTAGGGTTTAGGGTTTAGGGTTTAGGGTTTAGGGTTTTAGGGGCTTGATACTGTCGCGCACTACTACAACATTCAAGAGGTCCAGCACTTCAGGGATTGAGGTCAACTGTAAGGCCGGCGCTCTTCCTGGGGGGAGGGAGGGGGGGGGTTAGGGATTTGGGGGTCTCAGGTTTGGGGTTCGTTGGGGGTTTAGGGTTTAGGGTTTAGGGTTTAGGGTTTAGGGTTTAGGGTTTAGGGTTTAGGGTTTAGGGTTTAGGGTTTAGGGTTTAGGGTTTAGGATTGGGTGAGGGCTTAGGGTTTCGGGGCTTAGGGCTTTGGGGCTCAGGGTCTAGGGTGGGTCGTGAGAGTTCAGGTCAACGGTGGAGGGGGTTGCAGGTTTGAGATTCAAGAAAGCTGCGTGAGGATAAGCGTGAAGAGGCTCACAGCCCTAAGCCCTAAATCCTAAACCTTCAAAGTGCTATTCAGCTCAATGTATTTGGGCTTCAGCTTAGGGCGTATTCAGGACCCTGAACCCCTAAACCCCAAACAGATCCCACGGAGGTCCCTGAAACCCTAAACCCTGAACCCCTGTACCCATATGCCCTGAACCCCTAAACCCCTAAACCCCTAAGCCCCTAAACCCCTAAACCGCTACACCCCTAAGCCCCTAAACCCCTAAACCCCTAAGCCCCTAAACCCCTAAACCCCTAAACCCCTAAACCCCTACACCCCTAAACCCCTAAACCCCTAAACCCCTAAACCCCTAAACCCCTAAACTCCTAAACCCTAAACCCTAAACCCTAAACCCTAAACCCTAAATCCTAAACCCTAAACCCCTAAACCCCAAACGTCTTCAGCCACGAGGGCAGCTGTACCGCTCGTTGAGCGCCGCGAGCGCGAGACCTCCGAGGCGGGTTTAGGGTTCAGGGTTTAGGGTTGAGGGTTTAGGGCTTAGGGCTTAGGGCTTAGGGCTTAGGGTTGAGGGTTTAGGGTTTAGGGTTTAGGGTTTAGGGTTTAGGGTTTAGGGCGTAGGGTTTAGGGCTTAGGGTTTGTGGCTTAGGGCTTAGGGTTTGGGGTTTTAGGAGCTCTAGGGTTCAGACCCGAAACCAAACTAAACCTGAATCCTCAACGCCCAAACCATAAATCTCTTAAGGGCCTCACCAACAATCCGAAACCCTAACCCTAAACCCCAAACCCCAAACCCTAAACCCTAAACCCTAAACCCTGAACCACCCCAACCATAAACCTTAAACCCGAAAGTGGCCCGAAAGCAGGACAACAGAAAGGGGCCATGGCGCCAAGGCTGCCGAGGAACGAGCAGTTTCCATGTCGTCAGGCGCCGCGATCGCCTTGGCATGTGGGTTTAGAGTTTGGGTCTGGAGCCATAGGGGCTTAGG